GAGAGAGAGAGAGATGCAGAGCAGGGGGACGCGAGGAACAGTATTAAGAACCGCTGCTTTAGAACATTGATTTTGAATCTTGTGAATCCATTAGAATCATTAGAAGACAGAATCGCGATTCATATATGAACAGATTTTTACGTGCACCTCTAGTTTTCTCTTCCTCTTCTCTAAAGCAGTGCAGCAAGGCCTCGCCCCCTTTGCTGCGTGTTCCCGGGGGCGGGGTTTATCTGGGTTCGTGACGTAACGGACCTGGGAAGAAGCTCGTTGTAGTCCCTACCAGCCGTTTTTGTAGGCATTAAACTGCCAGAATTTTAAAAGAGGATATCTCCGTTTGCATTGAACTTTCAGCGCTGCAACTTTGCAGATATTGTTTATGCTCAAACAGCAACATTACACACTAACTAACGTTAAAAAAGTGAAATCGCAATCAACCACCCCTTTAAGCTTTGCATCACAAGAATACATTAGATTTTAATGTATATTAAAATAGAAAAACGTTATTTTACATCGTAATATTTCACAATATTACACTTTTTCCTGTATTTTTTTAATCAAATACATGCAGCCTTGATGAGCATAAGAAACTCCTACAAAAAAACATCTTTTGAAAGGTAGTGTACGATAGATATAGTTTTTTTTTTCAACACATTTTACCATGTTTAACTTAACATCACAGAATTATATAATGTATGAATGCATTAAATTGTTCATGACTATTTTAGTGAACTATTAAACTATTTTAGTGAATTCTAATATAGTATAGAGCCAGTGTTCAGCACCTTGTTATTATTAAATAGTGCTCTGCTCTACAGATATCAGTATGAGCACTGGCCATTATAACAAATCATATTGATCAACCCCTATTCACGTGTATAGAAAGGTGGCAAAAGAAAGTGCAAGTTTATAAGCTGGTTTAACACATGCGAACATAAAAGTTTTAGATTGTATCAGTCTTCACCTGTCATCTGAAAATGACTCTTTTCCACATGAGCCAATAAAACATTCAACAAATCCTTAGCTTTAACTTCAGCTCAAGATATAACATTTAAAACAAACACATACATCCTGAAAACCTATAATTATGTCTGAAAAAGATACCAGAAGCGAATTAATCGTTTGTGTTGGTGTGAAGTTTAGGTGTCAGTTGACAACAGTAAAAATGACAGTAGCCGTTAGCATGAGGCGAATATATATATATATATATATAAAAAAAAAAAAACAAGAATAAATCTTAAAACAGATTTATAATATGAACTCAAGAAATCATGTAACCCAACGAATATACTTTTAGACTGATATTGAATAAAAAAGAAGAGAATGGAAAGAAGTACCTGGTGCCACGGCGACACAACGCTGAGTATCCCTATACACCCGGGTTAGCCAGAGGGGAGGAGCGTGCGTGCGTGTGTGCAGATGTGTGTACGTGTGATAGACACGCCCATGTGGGGCGTGTCCTATATGACACCAGCCCACACTGCTCAGGTTTTTTTTAAATAATAATTTGCATAATTTGTTAAAAAACTAGTCATGCTAGTTTTAGACTATGTAGTTCAATTTGAAGCCTTTTGGAATGAATGGAAAATTATATGCAAAAAGTATGCAGATTATTATTATTTTTAAGACATTTAAAGTACACTATGTTAATATAAGAAATTCTTGATATTTTAGTGTTTTATGTGAATTTATAGGTTGAATAGTATATACACCTAGGCAATGGACTGAAAAACATTATATTTAGGCAATGCGATTTAAGACAGTAGTATAGGCTACAAACTTTATAATGCAATTAATTTATTTTGTTATTTTTTCCCCTATACCCTGTACTGCTTAAATATTCTTGAATTTTGAGTCAGATGGGTGAAGATGTCTGGTTCATGTTGGTGTGTAGTGTGGTATGTAGTGTATGTGTGAAGGTGTGTGTTAGTGAGGAGGTGTGAGGTGAGTGTATGCCTTTGTGAGGTGTGTGGTTTGTTTGTTTTCCAAGACAGACAACTGTTTGGTCTCTTTTTCATTTGACATCTGTCTGTAATGGTATTGTATTATCAAAAAAATAAAATAATAAATAAATAAATATATACATATATATGCTGATGTTTAAATGCATTTTAATTTATTTACAATTCAAAAACAGTAGATTGGTCTATTTGAAAATACATAGTCCCAAAGCTCAAGGATTGCCAGCAGCAGCAGCCTGAGGGAATATGAATGATTCCAGTGCAAAAGACAGAGAGGGTGAAAGTGAATTCACTCCTAATGATTATCCTCTGGTCCCTGTATAAGACACCTCATAGGACAAAATAAGAACCTGACCGCAGCAAGATATCATTTGCCTTGGTTTGAATAATGCAGTTCACCGTTATTTCCAAGCATTTATTGTCCAGTCACAGTGCCTGGGTGATGAGATTCATTTGAAACAATTCACACTTGTCTGCAAAGCCTGAGTAGTTCCCAGTGTTTAAATGTTGTTCATTCAATGAGATCCTAAAAAAAAATAAAAAAGTCAACAAGCAAATGCAAAAATTAATATATAATCAACTATAAATGAATAAAAACAACCAAATTCAGTTGATATATGCAAGGTTAATATTGACTGGTTCATCAAGCTTACATCATCTGAGTCCTCCTGGACCTGGAAACCATTTAGTTTGCCATTGGGGCTGCTCTCATTGCTAACAGACAGATCATCTTCTTGGAGTTGCAGAGCCGAAAAGCGATAAGCAGGTGACCTGCAGGGGGCAGAATTTGACCAACAGAGAATCTGCCAGAAATAATGGCAATCAAGTTTTATCAGTTGACCTTACCTTTGCCTACAGTTTATCCTCTTTGAAGTGATTATTAAAGCTGCAGTAATAATCAAACCAATGACCCCCACACAAGTACACACCACAATAAGAACCAGCATGCCCGGCTGCAAATAGAAAGACAATAAATAAATGTTCAACAGCCATGTTTTTCTTTATGTATTCTTTTAAATGTGCTGATTGATTTATGAACGAAATTCATATTGATTTTCAGAAATACATCACTCTTGCTCATACTGGTTAAGCAAACTGTATTTATGATCGTTATATTGTAACATACATGATAAGTGATTTTACTTTGTTTTTTGGCCACTGTATAGTGAGTAATGATTGTCATGAGAAACGGGCCACTCACTGAACTCTTAGTATGCGAATTTGCGGAAGTTGGTGAAATGTCCTTCCCACAAAGCTTTTTGAAAACATCTTCTCGTCTCGGAGGCCTGACACCCTCCTCACATTTATCGCCAGGAATCTTACGATACCTGTATAACACAGTGGTATAATTATAACAATGAAGTGTATGTATGTGTGTGTGTTTTAAAATTTTGCTATATAGAAATCAAGATGTATTTCACCATCACCCTGTATTCTGCAGGTCTTCTAGCTCCCCATTTAAGCAAATATCCTGGGTTTGATTCAGGAAGTCGGGTTGTAGGAGACACTCCGAGGTGTTTTCATGCCGATAGAAACCGTACTCGCTGTTGACAGGAGAGATATTCAGAAAACATCTTTTGTTTGGTCATAAGCAGAAGTCCAAACCTCAGTGTGGTGCAATTTTTCCTACCACATGTAGTCTTCCCTAGTGCAAGGACATGGACGCTGCTGCCTGCTGACCACATATCCTCTCCCATTTCTACATGCTGACAGCTTCTTTAGTCTTCTAAACGTCTCTTTGTAGCCCAAGAGGCATCCGTCTGTTTCTGGGTCAGAGTCATAGTCAGAGTGTGCCAACCACTGCACATAGTCCTCTTCACCACCTAGGAAAAGACATGATTTGGACAAACTTCCAAAGACTAAATACTGCATTGTCACAATTGTGGTACAGATATAAATTATACTGATGTTTATTGAGTAGTGTGAGCAGTTACATTACTTTTCTGCGCAATAATAGTCATAATTTTTACCTGGTAGATGATAAAATAGGTGAAAAAAAAAATCTTGTTTTCTTACATTAAAGAAGATACTTGAACTAGGCTATCAGAGACTTAAGCCAGTAATCAAGCACCTATCAACAACCCAGAACACAGAGGAACTATACTTTTTTTCCCTTCTTGAGGCAGTGACATGAAGCTGATGGGCTTATGCTGTTGAGCATCTGTCAGGCTGTCATTGAGCATCTGTTGGCCTATATTTTTTGTAGGGTTTTCTGCACTTTTGGCACTAGTCTGACCCCCTGTCAGAAGCTTTTAGTCCGACTGAGCATGTTAGAAGCTCAATGGTAAGAGAGATCACTTCAATTGATCAAATACATCATGGAGCAAAGAGGACACAATGTGCCGACAGACAAGACAGAGCAGGTTACTTCTGGTATGAAACAAAGTCTCAGCTTTCAAATTTTGGCCTTTTTTATAAGAAATTCAAACAATAAATGCCATTTTATGGCTCTTTGATGTGTCGTGACAGATTGCTGTAGCGCCTCAGTTCAAGCAGCACGTGTACCGATCAAGGTATCTTGTGTCAACTGCAGAAAGACATCAATACACACCATTTTTCCAAGTTCACATCCACCAACGTTAATCTACTCTCCTGTCTGGTTTGTTTTTTGTCGGACAAAATAGCAGATTCAGCAGTACAATTGGTCAGACCGCCAGTCAGTCAAACTCCCGGCAAAGGGTCAATTCTACATTATTCATCGATTGTGTCTGAGCTTTGATGATTTAGTATGATACTTATTACACTTTTTGAATTCTGCCCATAATTCTTGAAACGTTTCTTACATTCTCTGGTGAGCAGGTGCTCAAAGTCTATGGTGACAGCCACCCACATGGGCTGATCATCATCGTCTGGGCGGTAGCCGAAAATGCTGATATTCATTGTCTTAGTGCCCGGCTCAGATGCCAGTCCTGCTAGGAAGATCGGGTGGTCTGTGAAATTAAATACCTTCCAGCACTGTCCTTCATCTGTGGAAAACCTGAAAACAGACACACATAGTCATATATGACAGTGACCACAAATTACATGTTTGTTCTTTCAGAACGAGAACAATGTGTTATACAACTGCAGGGCAAGTGATAGTGTGTTACTTTATTGAGCTGATCTGTCTGTCTCTGTGCGCCTCCACGGCCACAATCAGCCCTCCAGAGTCCAGGATACTATAGTGGTGAGGTCCTCTCAGAGTCCCCCACCAGGTGTAACCTCCGTCCCCAGACACATACACATCAGGCCGAGCGGCTGAAATGGAGTCACCGACACTACCTGCAGTGACATTTAATATTTTGACAAGTTTGAATGTTAAAGGGATAGTTCACCCAAAAATGAAAATTTGATGTTTATCTGCTTACCCCCCGGGCGATCAACGTGTACAAGAAGAAGAAGAAGACACGTCACGCGCCGGCTGTCAAGAACACACTCAGGAGGACGCGCAGTTCGAGCAGTTCGGACATTGCGTGAATCAGAGGTAAAAAACGATATAAATGCTGTTCAGTTTCTTGCACAGACCGATCGTTTTGTGTCTTTATACATCAATGTATCGTCATGAGCCGCCGGGTTTAATTTGGTTTTGTTTGTGTATGTTTTAGACTCTCAAAGCCGTGATTCTTATTCACTTCCATTATATGACTGACAGACTGCAACGGTTTGAGTTAAAAATCTCAGTTTGTGTTCTACTGAAGAAACAAAGTCACCTACATCTTGGATGCCCAGAGGGTAAGCAGATAAACATCACATTTTCATTTTTGGGTGAACTATCCCTTTAAGGCTTGTGTTCTACTGAAGAAACAAAGTCACATACATCTTGGATGCCCTGGGGGTAAGCAGATAAACATCAAATTTTCATTTTTGGGTTAACTATCCCTTTAAGTTGTGGAGGTTGTGGAGCTAGGTAGTAGGGGCTAGTACCATGGGCGATGACCAGGCCAATGGCGGTAGGTTCAGAGAGAGGCAGCATGGGAGTGATTCCACTGAAGTGACTGTGCTCTCCGTGGATATGCAGGCTACACTGGAAAAGAAAATGGAAACAATCACACACACGCATTTACAGGAACATTTAAAGTCGCCGTAAAATGAAAAAAAAAGAAGCCTTACATCTCACAATCCAATCAATAACCGATGTATAGAACCAAGTCACTCACCACCTTGTTTTTTTTTTCTTTTCCAATATTCCGTTATACTCAGATGTATGTCACAAAATGGAGGAAAAGATCTGTTGCTACTTCTGTTTCATTGCTTTGAAGGAAATCAAAATTGGCCTTTTAACTTTAATGGCTAATCTGTATGCTAATGTATTGATAAACGTTTTATTAGCAGATATAATAATTTAAAATCGCCTTGCGTGAAATGTTTGTCTAATTATGGCTCATTTTAAAATCTTCAATATGTTCTTGCCCAACTTCCTGTTTAAACAGGAAACACATCAACAGAATGAGA